ACCAGGAGGTCTGCCATGACTGCTGTTCACCATTCACCATGCTGGTGTCAGCAACATATGCCCTGGAACCTGAATGTGGAACCTGTATGTGTGGAGGAACGTTATGTTCAATGATGAGACCAGATTCTGCCTAAGGAAGGTGGATTTTAGGGTGTAAGTGTGGAGAAGATGCAGAGAAACCCTGCACTGATTTTTGCAACGGAAGAGTAAAATCTTTTGGTGGAGGTGGTGTGCTGTATTGGGCTACATCTCTCTCACTGGAAAAACAAAGCCCATCATCAATGGAGGCAATCTCACTGCAGAGATCAAGATGAAATTCTGCAACCAGTGGCAATCACATAATGTATCTCCAGTCTGAGACCGAACTCTATCTTCCAAGATGACAACACTCGCCCCCACAGAGCGTGACTACCCATAAAATTTGGGAATGGAGAGAATGTAATGGCCAGCAGTCTTGACCTCAACCCCAATAAACACATGTACTGTATGATCAGTTTGGGCATGCACTTCATGCCAGAGTGACCAACACAACCATGTTGCCTGATTGTGACAAATGCTGGCTGAAGAATGGGATGCCATCCCAAAGCAGTGTGTGACCAGCATGTGGTGGACGTGCCAGGCTGTATGGTTTTTCCACATGCTACTGTGGCTCCTGTTTGTTTAATAAATAAATTGTTAAATTGCCAATATGTCTTGTTTCGTCAAATTTTAATCATCCAGTTCACTAAACACCAAACAAGTAAATGGCACACTAAGCTGTTTGGCATTGGCAAATCTTTCATGTACGCAACCCACATACTCAGCTCCACTGCTCATCCCACAAATGCATGTTCCTCACAAATGTGGCACCATTAAAAAGGGAAATTAACAAGATTTTCAACATTATAAGATTTATTGGCAAGAATTATTGTTTAAACAAAGAAATAATATACCAAACACAAATTCTCTTACTTTTTGTGCTAAGTTTAGTTTGACACACAAGACAAATTCAACGGGCAATTATTTAAAAAAGCACATCAAAGTTTAACCTCAGGATTAGGGAACCCAGTAGTCCTACTGAGGTTTACTGGTATGCTAGAGTTGCAAAACTAGGAGGATATTTAAACAAAGTATTAAAAAGAAAGTTTTTATATTTTCACACTGCATCATGCTCCTTCTTCCTGATATTACAACTATTAAAGATACCTACATTAATCATCACTGCATTATTTTGTTGCTCTTTAACCAGCACCTGGTTATCCAGCCTCTGTTTGTCAATCTGGATCTAGAAGTCCTACGTTATCTTAGCCCTGTTGTGCTCTTCTATAACCAGAGTTGCACATAAGTGGTGCACAGGTAAGCAAGCACAATCAAAAAAGGAAAAGCGCACCAGATGGAACGTCATAAAGCGCACTTGCATACCTAAGATTGTACCTGATTGTCTGTCAAAACAACAGCTAGCAGGGCTCTAGAGTGCAACCAGTTTGGTTGCAAATGCGACTTGATTTAAAAATAAATAAATAAATAAATAAATAAAAAGTCCAGCCGCACTGGTGTGAATGGATAGTTGTTCGGTGCTCACCAAGCCGACAGCGGGACCCTGACACAAGGATTAAATGGACACTGCCATCAACGAATCAGACAAAGTCCAGAGCCTTTTTAGTCAATCAGAGCAGAGCAGGGCGGGACTTTCAGTGAGAGCAAGTTTGGTTGAAGCAGCGGCTGCTGCAGTCAGACTTTGCATGCAAAACTGGCTGCTTTGGCTGCTCAAAACGTGTTTGGTGGTGGGAACCCAGCTTGACATCTCCTCCTGCACTTTGCTCCTGAGCTACTTGAACTGTCTGTAAAACCTAACTTTATATTAAATATATGTTCAGAGCGTCATTATCAAACAGATCTGTCCAACTTTGTGTGAGTTGGACAACTCTCTCCTCCTGATGAGAGACTGCTGTGCGTCGCTGCTCGCGCAGGCTGAGTCTTTCTGTGATACTGCAGGGTCCCACTGTTCTAATTAAACAACATTAACTCTAACAGAACATTTGTTTGCCCCATATTAAAGCAAAGATGA